TTATCTTTTATTATCATTATGAATTACCATTTAAAAACGTGCCTGACAAACAACTAAGCATAGCGGAAGCTAGACCTTGTGCTGCAAAACCTGGAGTTGAGATGTGATGTTCACTTTTGCAGAAAGAAAAAAAAAAGAAATAACTATATAAAGCCCATATTTTCACATCCGGCTTTGCTTTCATTAACACCTTACGGGAGTTGGAAGCGCAGTACAGTTTGTGCTCATGTAGAAGAAGAACGCCAAATTCTGTTTCAAGAGATGCTGCTAACATTTTCATGAGCCTATACCCATAATTTCTAATCAGTGAATTCAGTTAGATTCGTCAGAAGAAGTTGGTCTTACTGAACAAAGTTTGGAAAATGAAACTTTCATGATGTCAAATGAGTCATCATTTTCTCTTAGAAGCTGAAAGTCAGCATCATCTGATAATGAACAGGAAAAGAGCTCCACCAGTTTCTTAAATGAAGTGCATTTGCCTTGGTACTGCTTTATCTTAGCAAAGCTGAGCAACTCTTCAGCTTTKCTTGGATTATAGAAAATAGCTTATCTTGGTTTATTGTAATATACCTCAATAAATGAAAACTGCTAGGAAGTATTTTAAGTATGTCTCCTAGTTGGATGATACATAAATAACCACAAGCTGGAATAATAAAAAACAAAAAAAAGGAAGTTTCCAAAATGACTAAGTACAAGTCATCACACAGAACTATACAGTTTTCAAGAGGGTATAACACATTAAACTTAATTTCTATTCAAGCTCTGTAGAAATGAAATATGTTATATTGATGGAACCAAATCACCACATTTTTTGACTTATGCTGGGACAAGTTTGTTTGCTTCACAACAGCACCAATTGCTTAATCACAAAAMTGACAAAAAGAGACTTTTTAAGGTCTAGAGACACAAGGCCTCTCCCCGATAGGGCAAATTTCAAAATATTTAGGAGTTTCAAATTTAATTTCCAAAATGAACCACAGCACAAAAAAACGGCTGCTTAAAAGCGTTGCCCATGATCCCCGCAGAAGGTAATCAAAAAATGAAGAGGTGRAAGATCAAGAGGAGAGCATTTTTGTGCAAAACTCTCCACAGGCTTCCAGAACAGGAGGCCCTGGCATGGAGTCATGCCTTAAATCAGTAGCTGGAAACCTGGCAGGAGGTTTGGCTAGACAGGAGCAATCCAGAGCAGCATGGGGAAAAAAAAAAAAATATATATATATATATAGCTGCTAAAATGCATATGATTGTCCCTATACGAGCAATTATGCTCCTCATTCAGAGTCACTGGGAAGTGGCTCTTTCTCATGCTGTATTTTTAATACTGTGTGTAAGAGTTTCAGTTCCCCAACCCAAGAAGTCGTGGTGATGAAAGCTGACATCTAACGGGTTCGGGGCCGGGATCCCCAGGATCCGCGCGCTCCGCAGCRGCCGAGTGAAGCAGGCAACTTTCCCAATGCATGAGTGACACACAGGGRAGCTCCCCAGCGGGGCCGACAGACGGGAGCTCTGCAGTCGCCCAGGCCCGGGCAGCGTGGTCCAGAACTGGCTTTGGGAACCGCTCTGGGGCAGGGGCAAGGCGGGCACGTAAATTAAGCCCGGCTCTTCTTCAAGTTACCAATTGCTCTACATGTAACACTGCAGGCCGGGCAGGGGAAGGCGAATGGAGAGCTAACATTTTGTGCGGCACATTTCATTAAAAAAAATAAAATAAAATAAAATAAAATAAAAAATAAATACGAGGACATTGTGTCTTTCATGCAAAATAAAAAGTTTGTATGCAGTTTTATTAAAAAAAAAAAAAAAAGACTTTAACGAATTGTATGCAGGTAAAGAGAACAACTTCTGACCTTGAAATTGCGTGCTAAATAAATTACCTCAGAGCGAAAGTGGTGAGTTCGCATCACAGCATCTGCAAGGGAAACAGAGGGACAGCGGCTGCGTCTCGCTGCCGCCCGCGGCGCCGCGCGGACATTTCACGCGCGGGGCGCCGAAGTTGAGCGCGAACTTGTGCGGCGCTGGGCCCGGCTCCAGCCCCCGCCGGCCGGGATGCGGGGATGGAGGGATGCGGGGATGGAGGGATGCGGGGATGGATGGTGGGTGGTGGGTGGGGACGGCGCTGCCGCAGTCCTGCGCTCGCTTCGATTTTCAGCCCCGGGGGAGGGCGCCCCGTGCGCCCGTGGCCCCACGGCGGGCGGGGGAGGTGCTGTCGCCCCCGCCATCCCTCCCTCCATCCTTCCCTTCTCCCTTCTGCGGCCGCGGAGCGCCCCGTACCTCGGCTCCGGGAGCGCCCCGAGAACACGGACTTGATGGGGTGCCGGCCCTTGTGCAGGCGGCGGTGCCAGCAGCAGAAGAAGAGGATGGTGGCGATGGTGCCGAGCAGCAGCAGGAGCAGGAAGAGCGCGCACTGCACGCTGTAGGGTCGCAGCAGCACCAGGAAGGCGGCGGCGATCATGGCTCGGGCGGGCGCTGCTGCCGCTGCTGCCGCTGCTGCCGCTGCTGCCGCTGCCGCGCGG